TCTCAAAAAATATAAACAAAATAATATGGCTGTTAATAAGGAGGGTTTCTTTAAGCCAAGACCATATTTTCTATTAGATGTCATATTTGTGAGTATATGCCGTAACGTCAGAATGGAAGTTCTAGCATTGGTTTTTAAATTATGCAGTGTGTTTTTTTTGGCATGATGAATGCTGTTGATCAATCAATAGAAACCCTAACTACTTGCAGAATTAAAGGCTCAAGAGCGACGGCCTAAAAAGATCACTAGTTCAAGAACGCGGCACACATTCGCGAAGCGAGATCCTCTCTGGATTTGGAGTGCTTATCTTACTCTCACTGGGTGTGTAATCTTGCTACACTTAACCTCCCTGAAGCTGCGCATTTCTCTCTCTCTGTAAAACCTTGAGACCGTTACATGTATTTTCCTGGCCGATGACCACCGTGTTTCACGCTACACACACACACACACACCACACACTGCTATACTCTCTGCCTCCTGCCTGATATCTTTCACGATACACACACACACACACACACACACACACACACACACACACACACACACACATCTTTACTCTCTGCCTCCTGCCTGATCCCCGCACCATCTGGCGCGGATATCCAGAGCAGGGACTGTGTGGGAGCCTCAGCGGGACTGTCTGAGCCTGCAGGGCTAGCTGCTGGGGACTGCTTCCTCCCACTCTTCAGGGATCATTTCTCTGGCTCTGTTGGGACTATTTCGTGGTTGGCTGTTCAGATCTCATGACCTTTCATGAGCATAACATTTAGTCTGTGGGGGTCAGTCGCTGTTGGTCAAGTATAGTGAAGCTGTTAATGAGACTAGAGATGAAGATGGCTTTTTGCTGCCGTATGATGGAGGCTTTTGGGTACCCTCTGTTGGTACCCTCTGTTTGAACCCCAGAAAATATGTGTGCAGGACACTGATGGCTGCTTCCTCTTTCCAGCTGGCTTCCTCTCCATTGCTACTTTGTGTTGAGTTGGGACACTAGGAGGCCACTATCTATATCTTAGTTTGGGGGAAGGAGAGAAAAATTACAGACCTCTTGAGTTTCTTTTTATGATAGTAGGAACAGTGGATTTTCTCCTTTTCCACCCTTGTCTCTTTGATCCTCCAGCATAGGGCTATAAAATTATTAGGCCACTCAGCAATCCTGTTGCACATTCTTTGTGTACAAGGAAGAAAGTTCATGGGTTGTTTCTTAGCAGCTGTAAAGTAAATGCCTGAGGTCTTGACCTTAGCTATGGTGTTTCAGCATCCTTCCTACTCACTGGCAGGCCTGGCTTTAGTACTATCCTCAGCCTTAATTTTGAGAATTCTGCTTGCATCACTGTCTCTCTCAACTGATCTTAATGTTTCATTGGAAATGTTTATTAATCCAGCCGCCATTTTTCTGAATTTTCCTCTGTTCACTGGAATTGGTGTCAGGTGCTCATAATGAGAAGTATCGGTAGCTTTATTGATTTTTTTTTTTTTAGGTGGTGATCTTGAAACATTACACCTGTGGGATGAGTTTTCTAATTGAAGTCTGTGCTCCTCCACTAGATTATGAGACTCTTGAGGGTAGGAACCATGTTTTTCAGCTTAGCATAGCCATATCTCTCATTTATTACACACCTACTGTGTGTCAGAGATGTTGCTCTATTATTTCAGTGTATTCCCACAAAAATAAGGTACACATATATAACAAACCTGCACATTCTGCACTTGTATCCCAGAACTTAAAGTATAATAATAAAAAAAAATTTAAAAAGGTCATTAAACTAAAAAAAAAAAAAAGGTACACATAAGGAATCTTATTTCAGAAGAGCTTAAGTAAATTGCCCCAGGTCATCTCGCTAGTGAGTCACAGAACTTGCTTTTGAATTCAGTTTGACTTTAGAGCCTCTTTTCTAAATCACCTTTCCAACCTCCTTCTTGCAGAAAAGGACAGATGCACATAAGAGGACTGGGATCTTGGCCTGTAAAATGTTGGATGGTTCTCTTAAGTAGGAGACAGTTATGGAGCTGCATTCTTAAAGAAGAAGATAGAAAGTTTGCATGTCTTCAAAGCCCTTGTTGTTCCCACTGAACTACATTGACTTGCATCACTGGCATACATGGGCACTTACATAATATAAGTTTGTTGAGAGCTAGACCCTACCACCCAGAAGTCATCTGATGGAAGGCTTTGGCCCGTTTGTGGGCCTTCACTTCATGCTTTTTACTTAGAACAGAGAGGCTGAGATTATGTGAATTTGTCTCTCACTGATAAGGCCATGGGTTGAGGCCATCAGACAAACTCTGAGAACTGGAATGAATCCTTGGTGATAAGATATTCGGAAGGGCCAGGAGTGTGTTGAAGTCAGTGTTGGCTTGCTACAGTTAGGAGATGCTGTGCAGTCAGCCTCTATGCTTGTGGTTTAGGGCATTAGAATGTGCCTGCCCACTTTGGCAAGAAATAGGAAGTGCATAAATGCTTTCTCAACCTGAAGCTTTGTTGGATGTGCTCAGAGAACATTTCCTTTTAATGTATTTGGAAACTATAAATTTAACTCCTGCTGGGAGTGGAAGTAATTGCTTCACACAAGAAAAAAGCTAGCTCTTTAAAAGGCTGAACTCCTTTCACAAATATGTGCTTTTTAATGACTGGGAAATTCCTGGTACAGAAAAAAATGTCCTTTTGTACAAATGAGGTCATTCTGGTCTTAAGTGGCCCTGTGCACTCTAGTTCCTGCTTTCTGTTCCATGTTTTGTGACCAGAGGTTATTGGAAGGATCATCCCTCTGTGGATATTCACTGCTTTTTGAACTTGTTGCCAAGGGGAAAGTGAGCTTAGGAACTGCCAAGCCAGTGCCAGAGGCCCAGATCCAAGGGGTACTGAGCTAGTGACTGATAGTGATTGCGTTTAGATTGGTCATGGATTGGGTTGTTAAAGCATGCTTTCTGTGTGTGCTAGGATCCCTGTGTCTGATTCATTCTCCTCAGATTTCTCAACCATTCCACTGTTTCTTGGTTCAGGAATGATTTTTCTTTCCTAGGTGCATATCATTTACTCTGCTTTGAGTCTGCTTGGATGAGTAGAAACATCTGTGCCAGTCTGAGGCCTGGTGTAAATGAAAAGCAGCTGCTGAAAGAAGTTGCTCTGTACCTCTCCTTTAAACGCTTGCAAGCTGATTCCTCCTGAAGTTAATTTGTGAATTGGCTTGGCTAACATGCAGTAGGTATCTGAGGCCTCAGATTTGTGTGGTGAAAGGGTTCTCCTACATGGTAATGTAGAGTAGATCTCAGTGGATGCCCGTGATTCAATTTAAGCTCACTTTCCTCTAACTTTAACCACTGCCTACCAAGGAGGATGTTAAAGATTCGAAGAGTGTTAGGTAGGGAGAGTGTTACATCTGTCTTGAATGTTTTTATAAAGAGGTAGACATGGAGTGGGTGCAAGTGAGATTTGACATAGACCTCTGGGTCTCTTTTTTTTTGTTTGTTTTGAGGCAGAGTCTCAGTCACCCAGAATGGAGTGCAGTGGGGTGATCTTGGCTCCCTGCAACTTCTGCCTGCTGGGTTCAAGCAATTCTCATGCCTCAGCCTCCCAGGCAGCTAGGACTACAGGCGTGTGCCACCACGCTGGACTAACTTTTAGTATTTTTAGTAGAGACAGGGTTTCACCAATTTGGCCAGGATGGTTTTGAACTCCTGACCTCAAGTGATCCACGTGCTCGGACTCCCAAAGTGCTGGGATTACAGGTGTGAGCCAGAGTGCCCGGCTCCTGGGGTCTCCTTTAGACGATATATGTTTAAGACAGCCACTTTGAAGGATTAGCGATTGGAAATTGATATTTATTAACTGCTTCTTAGGTACCAGCACTATGCTAGAACTTTTCTGCAGATTACCTTTTTAGAGGTAGAAGGCTTGTGTAGTTAATTAGCAGTAGCCCATGAGATTCCCAAGCTACCATGCTGCCTCGCATCTTGAAGGGTTTGTGTTACATTCGTGTTCCCCTAGAATTCATCCTTGGCTGTAATTGATCAATGTTTTGATGAGGCCTTGAGTGCTTTCTTTCTGCTTAATTGACTACAGGTTTTTGTTGTTTAAAACATTCTCTCTCTTGCTACTGAGAACTTGGTTCTTATCATAACTTCCTAATACAATCTAGGTTCTAGGATCTTGGTGCCCCATTCATGACTCTCTAAGTCTGAAACTCCAAGTTCAGTCTCTGTTGCTTAATTTCTTGATCCGGGATTAAAAACCTCTGTCTTGAGGCATTGTGGAGAAGAGATTATGAAATGTGGTCATGAGCTGCTTAGATATTTGTTGCAGATCCCATTTTTGGCCTGAAACACTTGTGGCCCATCCAGTATGCTCCAAAAAGAACCTTTGCTTGAATTCTCTTGGGACCTGGAGGAAGTCAGGCGGACTGCTGTGACAGTCATGGCTGTGGGCCCTGGATCATTGGCTTCCCATCCTACTCTGCCTTTTTATTAGTCTCCTCAAAGAACAGGGAAAAAAAAGATCATTTAAGTTTAAAAATATCCCTTATTATAAAGTTGACTATTTTAACTCAATTTATCACTGCTTGCTAGACCATCTTTGTAGAAGAAAATATGTAGACGTGCCATTTCATTTAAGTTGGTCATTACCTCATGCGGATTACATATGCTGGAAAGGAAAAACTGTGACTCATGTTTCTGCAGGGCACCCTCCCCACTACCCCCAAGGCCTGGGTTTATTGTAGGCAGCCAATGAGTATTTTATTGAACTTAATAGCTGGCACAAAAGATTTGAAGAAAACATTCCTAGGAAATACTATCATAATTGAAATTGGGAAGTTCTGTGTAATTGCTGAGTGCCTCATTAGTTTCTGTGAGGAAAATACAAGGCATGATGCAAAATGGGTTAATATTGTAGAAGGAAAACTCTCAAGAGGTAAATCAGAAGCTTCACGTATCTGCCTACGATGCTCACAATGGGAATGGTACTGATTTGCTGATAATATGTTTTTATTATTATTATTATTCTGTAGCCTCAGACGATACAGCAAACTCTCAAGAGGACACTGCAGTATTATGAACATCAAGTTATTGGGTAAGTAAAAATTGATTTTGGTTATTGTTGGGGGAAAATTAAAGGTGATTACTCAAACGTAGCTGTTGAGTATGTGATTTTCTGCTACCCAGGTCAACCTTATTTTACAGTGGCTGTGTTCTCACGGTGTTGGGGGTGAAGGCTTATTGGGGGGGTCCCTTGGAGTGATTTCTTTTGGCTTATTTGTGCTTAATTCTTTTAAATGAAATTACTTTCTGGTATTGCTTTTCCTTTTTTTTTTTTTTTCCCTTGGTCTTCTCATGTTCTTACTGTCTTATTCCGATGTCAACTCGTATAATTTTGCCTTACTAATGTGGTAAGGTTTATTGGTACCAACCCAGATGCTTTGAATGGGATTTTAGAATCCTTAAGTAGAGTTTGATAAAAATCACTACAGCCTTAACACAGTTCAGTGAGAGGAATTAGTTTACTTAGAGTCACGTGCTACGTATTTTCTTTATTATCGCCTATTTCTTGAAGTGGTTGTGGTGTGGTGTAAAGTAAGAAGACTTGAGGTCAAAAGACAGGACTTCAAGGCCTCACTAGCACATAGATCTTTTACTAAGTAACTTTATCTCTTTTGTAAAATGTGATGATAATAATAACTAAATCAAGGATTAGATGTAATGATTAAATGAGGTAATTTCAATGAAACCGTTTTGTAAATAGAGAGCTCCAGATGAGTATGAGGTACACCTCTCATTGGCTATGGCAGAAAGTAACTGGCAAATATGAAAGCCTAAATTTACTTACTCATGCAATCTAGCTTTTAGATTCAATTTATTGACATTAGAGTCAATGTATATTTTTAATTTACCTTGTTAGTATTCTTTATATGGCACAGTGATTTATCTTTGTAAGATTTTAAGAACTTTTGAGAAGTCAGTATTCAAACTGGTACTTCTTGAACGGTTCTCAGGATCATTCAACATTTATGGCTAATAGTCATTGCCATAGGGATCAAGAACATAATTTTGGCTGTTAGGGTATAGGGTGATTTTTTTTTTTCACAGAACAGAAGGGAAGAATTCTTAATGGAAAAATAGTCTTGGTACCTAGTACAATGCCATATACTTTAAGTGCTTGATGATTATGTTAATTGTCGTTTCAAAAGGAATTGCTTTGAAACTTTGTCATACTAATCCTCAAGAGTGTAGTTCGAGGAAAAACATATTATTTAAACTCATGAGATGGCTTTTAGTTTGAGGCCATTAGTGATTTTAAATCGTTTATCCTAATGGAGATAAAGAATGTCAAATTAATCTTTCTCCACACATCCTAGAATAAAACTTAATCACTCTCATTGAATTGGCTGCTTTCAAAGTATGGTGTTTGGATTAAATTAATAAAGTAGTTCCTTGTATGTGGTGAGCACTACATACTTGTTTGCTCTTATGCTTATTGTTATTATTAATATTTTTATGACAATATCCATCAAAGTCTAATCATTTTCTGGGATTATGAATGTTCTTTCTCTTTTGAAATAAAATAACTGATGAAATACTCTCATTTGTGAACTAAAGTATGTAAAGTATGCCTTCAAGGCAAATTGGAGTGGGACTCTTATAATGTGATCCAAATAGATAACCAAACTATATTGCTATAATCAGAAATTTTTTTTTCACCTTTGATAGAATGGAGGGAGTTCTCTTTTATCCAGCTAGCTGCCTCAGCCCTCCCCTTCTGCCTATGTAGACATGGCCTGTGGTGATTCTTTGTCCATTGCATGAATGGTCTTTTCCTAGTTCTGTTTATTGCATACACAGTATAAAGAAAACGGAGAGTTTGACACCAGTATAAAGAGGGGTCTTGATGTCTGGCATGATTCAAATAGGCCTATTAGCATATTTTTGCTTGGGTTTTGGCTGATTTCTCGGACTTGAAGTACCTTTGCTCACTGACTTTATTTGCATTCACGCTGATGAAGACAAAGGGGTCCTGTTGACAGCAATTTTGCCACGTTTGCCTTTCTTGACTGTATTCCCCTTTCTTGCCTTTTTTCTCATTGATGACTTTCCTGTCCAACTTCCTCTTTTACCTTTTATTCTCCATCTTTCTACTTTTTATTTCTCTTTTCACAATAAAAAAAGCAGAGCAGCTAATATCACTCACCCTTGAACTAAAAAGTATTTGCAACTGTGTGTTGTTCCTCTTAAGAAAATACAATTTAAGTCTTCTTATCTCTAATTGTGAAAAAGAATGTGTTTCTTACAGTTAAAGGGATTTCAGAATCCCTGAATTGAGAATTGAGAGTAAGTGCCGACAAGCATAATTTTAGTTATTTTTCAGCAGGCGAGGTGGGAAGGAGATGCTTTTCCTAATCTCTGAAATGGGGCTTGCTTAAAGGTGTCTTGAAATAACTCAGCATTTAAATACTTTGTGTTGAGGTGTTGAAGCAAAACAGGTAACAGAGTATGAGCTAGCCTTTCTCTTTTTAATTTCTTAATTATCCTTCAATCACTAACCTTCCTTTCCTTTCCTTGAAAACTCTGCCCTTAATCTGTGTTATTTATCAGAGCTCTAGGATTGTACAGTTCTGCTCCTTGGATTCTTATACTGGTTGCCCATAGAAACTCTCTGAGGCTTTTTTTGTCTGCCAAGACTGAGACTTGAACGCAGGGAGCAGCTGTTCCGAAGGGTCACAGACAGAAGGACTGGGAGGGAGTACCCGATGGGGCTTCCTGTTAGGGAGTAAGATAGCCTCTCTGTACCTCATCCACTTTATCTTTAAACATTATTCTACTCCTTAATTTATCCATTCACTCGTTCATTTATTTATTCATAGAGATCATTCAAGTTGGGGAAATGAGTGCTAAAATAATTTATTCATGCAATGTGATAAATCTTCTTCTCTTCTTCTCCACTATCGTCATCATCTCTCACCAAGACATTCTGGTCTGATTTTCTGGTTTCTACTTTTGTCCGCCAATATGTATTTTCACCACAGCAAAATGATAAAAAATTAGATCATGCCACCTTCTTACATGAAACCAATGGTTCTCAAATGTTAATGTGCATCAGAATCACCTGCCAGCCTTGTTAAAACACATATTACTGGGCCCTGCTCCCAGAGATTCTGATTCCGTGGGTTCAGATGGGGCTCAAGAAACTGGCATTTTTGACAAGTTCCCAGGTAATGCTGATGCTGCTTGTCCATGCATCACACTTTGAACCCCCTGCTTTAAACTATATAATGGCTTATTATGATAGAATAAAGTCTAAATTCTTTCTGTGATCTGGCCTCTGCCTCCCTCTCTAATTTCATCCCTTTCCACTTCCCTTTTTTTCACTCCATTTCAACCGTCTGTTGGTTTCTCAACTTGCCAACCTTAGCTTCAGGGCCTTTGTATGTATCGTTTCATTTTTTATAATGCTCTTTCCCCCGATGTTTGCATGACTTATTCTTTATATACATATAGATCTCTGTTAAAATGTCTTCTCTTCAGGAAAGCCTGCCCTGATCACTCCATCTAAAGCATCTCTCCATCACCTACCTCAAATTCCAATTGTGTCAGGTTGACTTTGTGGAAAATTTTGATTGCTATATAAACTCTACATATTCATGCTCACTTGGAGAGCTTCTTGTTCCCATAGCACTGTCTTTCCTTCACCTAGAATGAGTAAGGGGGTATTGAGTGTGCATCTTTATGTTAGTTGCTCTTTAACTCAAACTTCTAGGGAATGGACTTTCTGGGTGTTGTGGAGTGGAAAGATTAGTGAGAAGCAGAAGGAGTCAGTAGGAGACAGGCAGGATTCACTTTAGAAATTAAAAGAAACTGAGGATGGAGGAATGTCTGTTTATAATAGTACTTCTTTTCTTATATAATTCTTGCCATTATCTTGTGCCGTTTCTTCTCTTTGTATGTTGTGGAAAGATTGTGTTTTGTAAGTAGACGTATGAGAATTACTAGACATAAAGTCAAGTTTTGCTATTGAATAATCTTGGGAAGATTACTTAAAATCCCTGAGCCTCAGTTTTCTCATTTTAAAAATGGGAATAATAATAGTGTTATGGTGAAGTTTAAATGAAATCTTAATGATAATAATGTATGAAGTCACATAATTACATAAAGTAGTTAGCATAGTACCTGGTACATAAAGATAATCAATAAATGAATTATTATTACTACTATTAGTAAATGACTCTTTTGCAATTCAACTTTTGTTGATTATCTTCAGTTTATCCTCCTGCTGCAATCTTTTCCTGTCTTCGTTGGGACTTTTAAAGTTTAGAATCTGTTGTTTAGCATCCGGAGCTGAAGATGCGCAGTTTGTGTTCTAGCAACAGTTTTCTTCTTAAAGAGAACACTTTTTTGTTGATTTTTTTTCTTTTTTTGACTGAAATTTCTGTCTCTAGAGGGCTTGACTCAATTGCTGTCACTCATATTTGTACTACATGACTCCTACTGGTCTATGGCTCACAAAAATTGATTGCCATGGCAGTGTAGATGAAGCACAGATTTCTTCAGTAAACTGCTGTGGGAGATGTGATAATCTTTCTGAGATACAGTGTTCACTCACTATATATTTTAAACAATAAAGAATAAAGAAATGTGTATTCAGAACCATGCCACTAATTTTATTCTTTTTTTTTTTTTTGGCCAGAATAAGCATTGTTGTGTTAATATCATGGGTAGGACTATTGCCAAACTCATATTAGTCTGGGATAGCAATTCTTATAGTCATCTAAAATTAAATTGTATTGCTCCAATTATTAATGTGAGCCCTATGTTTGTTTTATACAGCCAACCTTCTGTTCTCTTTTTCTTTTGACAATTGAGGAGAAATTAAGCCAGAATAATTTCAGTAGAACACTAGAAGTGAAATTAAGAGTGGGTGAATTCTGATTATTCTGGGAAACAAACTTCAAGGATATTACTTAAGCTATCATGATCAGATTTTGTGGCTTAAATTATTTTATCTAAAAATGATCTAGCTTCTTTTTCATATATTTACATAGAAAAACTGTATCTTTTTGAACATAAACAAATTAGACAAAAGCTAATATCTATTGGTTGCTTACTGTGTTGGAGGAGATATGCTGGGCACGTTCCATCTTTTATTTAATCCTAAACATATTGCATAAGAGTACTGTATTAAGCACATTTTACAGTTGAGGAAATTGAGGCTGAGAGAAAGAAATACTTTTTTAAGGTCATTCTGATAAAAATGGTGGAGATTGAATTAAAAATAACCCTGTGGTTGCCTGTGTTTAACATCTGTGCTCCCTGTTCCACCTCTTGAGTGACTCCTGCATTCTGGAAACTGTGGCAGGCATTTTGCCTAACTGGTTTATTGGAGTCTGATCTCAATGAGGTATACAAACATGAAACCATTTTATTTTTCCCTCCACTCACATCAAACATGCTAGGTTACATCCCCTTCGATATTAGCTTAGACAGATTGCTCTGTTTTCTAAGTACTTCCAAGAATTATGAAGTTCACTCCAGGCCAATTTAAATCTTTACTCTCATATCCAATCTGACTCTAATGTTCCTTTCCCTGTCTGGGTCAGGCCTTTGCCTAAGCGACTTGGAATGCAGGACAGAGTGTATGATGTGGGTTTTCACTCCTCTTCTCCAGGCCATTCCTTTCTGGGTCCCTTTCTCTTCTGATGTATTGGTTGAAGCATGAATGAAATGGAAAATGGCAGAAGCCTTTTTAAATTCGCTGGGGTTGTAGCAGTCCTCTCTTGGCTGTGATGCGCTCGCTAGGGTGCATATATGAGTTCTGCCCTGACTGCTTCGGATGCCACAGCTCCTGCACCTGAGGACTTCACTCTCTTGGTCTTGCTAGTGGGAGCCCTGTCCCTGGCTGGTAGCCTCTAGATTGGAAGAGCACCATGACAACCAGACAACTCAAGCTTCCCTCTCTCTTCCCTAACCCATGAGAAACTCACATATTTGCCCTGCCAAATGGTGGGCCTTTAGGTTGCTCCCAATTTTTCTCCATTTCTTTTCCTTGTTAATGACTCTCTCCTGAGTCTTCTTCCTTTTGTCAGTCAGACATGGGAGTATGATCAGGAAATCCACTGCCTCTGCAGACGTTCACTGGGGAATGAGATGGGAGATCCCCAATCTCTACCAGCTATGGACCCCCCTCACCAACTGGATGTCTGCAGGGAACACTCCCCTTCTCTCCTTTTCTAGGAGGGGAGAGGGGGAAGCACAATAGCACTCTCTTCCTAGGCCAACTCCTGACTCTTCTGAAGATTTTATTTTGAAGTCTTTCTATTCCTTTGCTTCTGTAAGCTGGTGGTAGGGTGACAGGGGCAGTGGCTATTTAGTCTCCTCTGAAGTCCTGAAGAAGAGCTCTGGTCTTCTTGGCTACCCCTTTAGAATGTGGGAGGATTTGGCCTTTAATGTCCTCAGCTTATTTTGTCTTAGCTCTCATTCAGAGGCAACTCAAAAAGTCCCAGTCAATATCCAGTTACACGGACATTGTGTTATTTAGTCCTCACAAGAACTCTAGGAGGTACTTCCATTTTATGGGAGAGGAAAGTTAGACTAACAGAGATTAGGTTACTTGCCCAAGATCTCACAGATAGAAAATGGTAAGACCGTGACTCAAATTCTGCCAGGTGTATGCTGCTATCTTTTTTTTTTTTTTTTTTTTTTTGAGGCAGGGTCTTGCTCTGTCACCCAGGCTGGAGTGCAATGGCGTGATCTCGGCTCACTGCAAGCTCCACCTCCCAGGTTCACGCCATTCTCCTGCCTCAGCCTCCTGAGTAGCTGGGACTACAGGTGCCTGCCACCACGCTCGGCTAATTTTTTGTATTTTAAGTAGAGACAGGATTTCACCGTGTTAGCCAGGATAGTCTGTGGTCTCAATCTCCTGACCTCGTGATCAAACCTCCTCAGCCTCCCAAAATGCTAGGTTTACAGGCGTGAGCCACCGCGCCTGGCATATACTGCTATCTTCTTGACTGTGATAAAGGTTATGGTGTGTTGACTTTCAACACTGTTGAATGCCAGGACACCAAATTAACATTGTTAACTTTTCCTTTTCTAGGCAGCTTCCTCATAGAAGCAGATCACTAGCCTTGATGACGTGCTTACAGAGTGATACATTAGCTATACAAAGCTGATATATTTTTCGTTCTCCTCAATTTTTTTCACACATAGCTTTCTTGTTAACAGTTGCCTTCAGTTCCAGGTCTACACTGCAAATGCTGATGTGAATGGTGGGTTACGCCAGAATTATGTCTCAAAGCTTCACTTATTTTAAAATGTGATTATGATGAAAGCATAGACTGCGTGTGCCTGTGCGTATGTATATGAGTTGCATTCGCAGATGCTTTCAAAAATTTCTCCTTATGCTAATTTTGTTTTCTTCTTAGTTACAGAGATGCAGAAAAGAATTTCCACAATATCTCTAACAGATGCTCCTATGCAGAACACTCCAACAAAGAAGAAATCGAAGATGTCTCAGGAATTCTTCAGTGTACTGCTAATATACTCGGTATATTAACTATATATTTATATGATTGAGAGAGAATGAAAGAGAGGGAATGTCGAGGTGGAAACGTTTCATGTTCTACCAAAGAGAGATTTGGAGAATATGGCAAGTTGAGACCCAGACCTTGTGAAGTGATGGGTATTAACTCTCCTGAAGATGTTTGAGTGGAAATTGCTTGCATGCCACTTACTTAGAGATGGAAAAACATCAAAACAAAAATACTTAAATTCCAGGGAAACAATTTCAAATATTCACATGTGAATAGTATTAGCCTTGTATAATTCATATTTCTTTGGCCCTTATTCTCAGCTGAAGTTGTAGGATCTTTTATTTTACTCTCAGTCATACTCTGTTATTTCTGGGAGGTCTTGGTTGGGGCAGAAGGGTGGCCCACAGGTACTCTTAACACTCTACAATCCAGCGTTCCTTTCTGTGGCCTTGTCAGTGAAGCAGGTCATCTACTGAGGTGTCTTTGCCCTACTTGGGGCTGGGGGAGTGTCCGTCTTAAAGGTATTTGGACTTATGGCAGAGGGGCAGTTTGTGGATGCTCCAATATGGCTAAAAGGTAGTGTGGTAGATTGCATCCAATCATACAGCCTTAAGCTACCATAACTGAACTGTTCTGCCATGCTACCTGAAGTTCTTGGTATGTGAGAGCTACCTTGTATTCCATGCAAAGTGTTCTAAAAGAAATATATATTTTTTCCTGATGTCTTACAGATGTTTCTAGTGAGAAATTTCTCTTTAAGTTCTTTTTAGAATCCTTTCTTCTTTATGACCCAGATAGGAATCCATGGGGTGCTGGAGGGTGCTAGTGGGGAATAACAAATCTTAGTGAGCGACTCCACACAGAATGCAAAATCTCTTTTGGGGTCAGGTGATGGAGAATAGGGCAAACTAGTTTGCATGTTCTTTCTTTTCTTTTAAAGTACTTTTCCCTGGAGACATCTGAGTTTCTCCTACAAACAATTTCCAGGTCACCCCAACCCAAGAGTCTATCAGATTTTTCTAAACATGCCTGACTTCTAGAGGTAGACTTCTTTTACACTGAAGCTGGGAATCCAGCCGCCAGTTGGCTACATTTTCATCCTAGGTAACTTTTGTAAACACAAAATTGAATAATAAGAAAATGTATCCTTTTTTTGTGAGGGGAGGCATATAGATGTTAGTGGTTTGTCTAACATCTATAACACTATGCAGGACGGTGATGGGTAGTGAAAAGGAGGCCAAAGATTCATCACCTTAATCTTAGAACAACTGCAGGGATGTCACAATACCCAAGTAAATCTTATGATTGGAGAAAATCAGAGGTGAGATTAAAAGAGACATTACCTGAGAGTTTAAAGTTTTCTGATTTTATATTTTCAAGGACTTTCCTTTCAGTGACATCTATTTCTCTTAATGCATTGTGATTTCAAGGGGTGGGGTGATGATGCCACACTAAAAGGGATGTGTCAGAATCTCAGTGAAGGGATGTTTAATCTTTTGAGACGTTGCTTCTTAACCAGTTCCTAAGCATTTTCCTGACCCTTACATCTTTCTTCTTTATGCTCCCTAGTTTTAGAATCACTGAGTTAGAGGGAATAGGAGGTGTTCAAAGATAATGATTACACTGGGGTGCTAAAGGTAGTTGGACTGTGGCTTGTAAATGAGTATGCAGAATTTTCACAGAAAGAAACCCTGGGTCAAACAATTTGAAATGGTGACCACCAGGGGACACTGTTGGCCCAGCACAGTTTAGTTGCCCTTCAAAAGTTGCCCTGAGATGCTGAATAAGTCGTGAGTGAGAAGTCAGCAGGCAATGTGCTGCCTGATGACATTAGGGTAAGTGAAGTGTTTATAACTTAGAAGGTGATTATGTAACAGGGTTTAGATTTCCATGAATACTAACTTTTTTTTTTTTTTTTTTTTTTACCAAAGAGATACTAGGTCTGATTATTTTCTTCCTCTGAGTAATGATAGGTTGTTCTCAAGATTTAAAGCACAATCTTGTAAAGTTTAAATTTCTGGAGATTAACATTTAATGCCTGCCACCTGCCAACCAGATGCTGGCACAGATGATTATGTGCCTAAGAGGTAGCTGTTCTCTTTGAATAATGTATTTTAAGAATCTTGATATATTGATGCTCTGAGGGCAGCTTTAGTGGTCATATTCAGTAAAAGCTTTGTTTTTAACAAGTCACGGAGCTATGATTAATCTTGGCTTGCTTAGATTTTATCTTTTTTTAAAGTTGTGTTTAAATTCTCTTGTGTAATCATATATGAGAATGAAGGAATTGGTTAGCTTACTGGACAGAAAAGCACCACATAAAAAAATTATTTTTTGGGAGGGTGTTGGGGGCTGGCACAGGAAAATAGCATTTCAACCAAGTTAAGAACAATTTTGATGCCTGGGAACCTTTCTTTTGGATGGCAGAAGGCAATGTTCCAACTCCATGGTTTGTATTGATCACCTTTGGGGAGTGTGATTAGAATATTGGTGGTTTATTCACTTATTTGTATGTTATTTATACTTCATCATCAAAAAAGACTTGAAGTCATAGATCACAAAATATGATCATAGTAGCAATTTTTCTCCTTCCAAAATGATCATTTCTACCTACTTAGTATAAACAACTCCTCTAGAAAGTTTGGTCATTTACTGGCTCTTCAGGTTGAAGTTTGCATTTAGAGGGTGACATGGAATAAAAATGAGGACCTGAAGAGAAGGAGAAAGTGAGTTGGAGAACACCTGTTATGCCTCTGTCACGCATTTATTCTCACCTCTTCAATGGGACTCCCTGGGAGTGCCTGTTGTGCCCTACAGGGTGGTTCTTGTCTCTGGAGTAACAGGAAAGAACTGCTTTCAGATATCAAAATGTTTGCTCTGTTTCCCTTTTGTTGGCTTAGAAACTGGTTGTTTCTATTTTCTGTCTCATCATTTACAAATTACGGATATTGATTATGGTCTGTTTCTTGCCATCTCTTCACCACGTTTTGGTGCTTTGGCAATTGCTGTGATAATGGAGGCTGGGCCCTTGAAACTCTGGCCATGCAAGGAAACATAGTAGACAATGCCCTCCCTGCTGGAGGACTTCAGATTTAAGTTTATTGCTTTATTTGGTACGTAATATCTTTTGCATACCAAAATGATCTAATTTTAGTTGTCCAAAAAATAGAAAATCTCTAGCCCTCATCTGCAAAGCCTATTTTTAGCTCAAATTAAATAGTAGAAATGTGTTTATGTTCTGTGAGGCAACATTAGTATCTTCTTGGAAATTGTAATGGTTGAATGAAGTGTGTATTAAAGCATGTGTACCATGTTTTCTGCTGAAATGTTGCTACTTGTTCCTATGTGTTACATAGTGTTATAGGCAGGGAGACAAAGTGAGTAGGAGAGTTAAGGGAGAAGGATGATAAATTGCATAGTCTCCTTTGTCATAATAAGTTAAATATAAATGAGGTTATGACTATTGCAGTTTTAACAAGTTCTAATACTATTAAGGGTGTTGTGGGTGTTTCAGTTGTTGTAGAGCTTTAAGAGCTACAAGATGAGGGAGGAAAAAGACTTCCCACAGTAGTTTAGAGAACAAATAGAAATGAGAGCTCTGGGTTAATTCATTTACTGAAGAGTTATAGCATATAAAGATTTGCAGGTTTAGGAAGCATCAGTTATTTGCTAAGTATTGCTCAAAGTGTAATTTTATACTGCCCTTGCGAAGTGCATTTCCTCTCAAAATAGGAAGTGCATAGTTCTGAAAAGTATTCATTAATGTTTTCTTTGTTTTAAAGGTCTCTCTCTGTCAGAGTGTTGCTTTATCTTCTCTAGAAACGTAACACATTTAAGTCAGAATGGGACCAATGTTATCATGGGATTATTTTGTTGGGAGAGGGCTAGTAAGGAGGATAGAGGAAAAGACCTTTGGGGCTTATTCCGCACAATATTTTCTTAGTGTCAGGGATCCTGAAATACTGTGAAATCATTTATAAGATGCCACTGATTCCACAATCTTTAGCTGGTATGGAACTCTGTTTTTTTGTAAGTAATGATTTTTTGCTTATATGCCAACTTGTGTATACTATTTTGTTTCACTGTGATTTGGAATGTGTATTTAGGAGCCTTTTAATTGGTCATAAAATTGTGAAGAATTAGCTTAAGGTTAGGGTTAAGACTAACTTGGGGATTTTCTGGGAATAACTCTTAATAATATAATTGTTTAGCAGATTAGAATATGTTTAACATATTTATTATCTTGGAGAACTAGTTAGTGTAGTAACAACTTACCATATTTATTGGTGAGTTAATATTAATAGCAGTAAATAACTTCTGCCAATATAGTTCTTGTTACTATAACTTGGTAATTGATCAATTTCTTCTTTCATTAAAGTAAATATTTTCAGTATTTTACTAAAATGAATTGGAATTAAGGTGGTTGGAGGGGAAGTAACTTAATAATGTTACTATAATGTAGTGACTTAGAGCAAGACTGGAGCCAGACTACTTGGGTTGAAAATTCATCTCAGCTACTTACTACCCGTATGAATTGGAATGATTGACTTCATCTTTCCTTACCTCATATTTCTCATTTGGAAAATGGAGATAATATAATTGCACACTTCCTAGAGTTGCTAAGACGATTAAATGAGTTAATTTATATTAAGTACATACTTAGAACAGCATGGTATATAACAAACAAATGGAATGTAAATGTTTGCTTTTATTATTATTGAGTATTCCCCAAATAATGTTTGCATCAGACACATGAGGTTTGCTTACTTGTTTAGGTGAGGAAACATACTTTGCAAGGTTAACTAACTTGTTGATGTCTTTGGTCAGAGTTAACAAGCCACAGAGGCAGAATTTAAATTCATTTCAGTCTGATTCCAGACCTCATGTTCTTCTCACTACTTTGTGCTGCCTTCCAGCGTTGTTGACTGTGTCATCACTCCTCTGATGCTAATTACACACCATCTTTCCGGTTCTCTGAATTCTTAGACTCGTCATGATGTCACATTTTGCTTAG